GGACTATTGGCTAGGTGTCTGAAATCTGGGCCTTGGTTTCCAGTTTTAGAAGATGAATATATATAGCTATAACGGGCATTATTGGGTTCATTGACAAAAAGGTAAATTATTGTATCAGCATTAATTGTCCTGACATGGATAACTCAGCTGTGGTTYCCCAAGAAAATGCCCTCATGTATAGGAAATGCGAACCATGATGTGTGTAACTTACTCTCAAATGGGAAAAAAATACAACCTATGGATATAGACTTAGTGTGTAAATGGTAAGGCAGAAGTGACCCAGTGTTAGCAGTGGCTGAATCGGGTGAAGAGCACTCAGTACAAGAAGCCCCTTACTAAGTTGCTTTGGATGGTGATGGGAAGAGGTCCCCTCGCCCAGATAAGCAGCATGCACAAGGGTGTAGTGACCACAGGTGCAGGCTCACAGCAGGCCCTGATGTGTTGTCTGTAGGAGCTTCCTGTCCAGGGGTAAAGGACTTCCACTGGGTCCCTGTCCTAAAACCATAACCACAGGGAATTCAAGGAATCCAGCCCTTCCCTTCCCTCCAAGGCCAGTTTGTCAAGTAAGGCAGCAGATGAGGAAAAGGAAATTTTTAAACAAATCCCATCCACACTGGGGGAGTTGACACGTCCATGGCATTCGCCCCTGGTGTGGGGTTGTCTTGTGGCTTTGCCAGCTGTGGGATTTGGAAATGGAGGCCTAGTCTTTCTGGTGTGAGCAGCTGGGCACAAGAGGGCCTCTGAGGCTTCTCACAAGCACAACTCTCTGTAGAAGATCCTGCTCCGTTTCTTGCCTGCTGATCCCACTGCTATCTTCAGTTGCCGATAGAAACGGTGGCAGTGCCGCCATTGTGAAAAGTGGTTGTTGGGGGGAGACTCAGGGCTAGACTTGCACGTGTTCCTTCCTCCAGACTTTGCCACCAAGGCTGCCCTGTGCAAAGCACTTGGGGAGGGTGCTTTTCCTTCCCGTCTGAGTGCTAGGAGCATTTTACCATAAAGAGGGGTCTTAGCTGGTGGTGTGGAGACAGCTGGAGCAAGAGGCCAGGCCACCGTGAGGACCACCTGTTTCTGATGATGACTGCAGGGAGCCTGGCAGGCCGCTCTGGGGCTGCAGTGGGAAGGGGAGCACCATGTCCTGCCCTCTTCCCTATGGTAAGAGCAGCCCTCCATGCCCACTGCCCTAAGAACCCAGACAGCCGAATACCAGGGTACAAGTAATGTGTCCCCTGCCCTGCCTGCTCACAGCCCTTCATTGGTCTCATATGAGAGCCGTCTCCAAGATGGCACCTACTGTCTTGGCCTCCTGGTATTCATGCCCTTGTGCATTTTCCTCCCACAAGGGATCTAGGCTGGCCCAGTGGAACCAGGAGATGGTGGAAGTGGCTTGGGGTGAATCCCAAGTCGAGGTTAGGAGGAGCCTTACAGCTTCTGCCTGAGTCGTTCCAGAATGCCCGTGCTTGGGACGTTCCCTGTTCCCTCGCGGTTCTTAGCTGCCACGCTGTGAGAGGACCACATGCCCTGGAGAAGCTGTGGGTGGTGCCCCTGTCAGCACTTGGGCTTCCAGCATAGTCGAGGTTTTCCCTGGCTTCAATCCTGGCCACCATCCAACCACAGCTCCGTGAGAGACCACAGTGAACTCAGAACCACAAGGAAGAATGATCCGTGGTCGCTCGAAGCCGCTGAGCTTGGAGCAGTTGACAATCTGGAACGTGTGGGTAGCCAGAGGACCCGAGTCCGAGACCAGGGCCCAGGAGTCGGCTGGTTTCTCCCAGTTGGTGTCCAACTCTACCCCCTGGTTATCATGCCAAGTTCTCTGGCTTTTCCCCGGGGAGGAAGACCCAAATGTGGTTTAACTCCAGAGGCTGCTGAATGACAAGCCCAGAGGTAKCGAGGGGCAGTTCGGTGTGTGAATACTTGCATTCATCTTCAGAGAACAAGACAGGCCGTGCCGGCTCTTTTTCAATAGAATGAGTGCTCTCGGAGGTAGAGGCTGACCTTGTTCATCATCGTGTCCCCCAAAGCCTCACTCTTACCAGGCACAAGTTCCTCTGCATGGTTGAATTCATTTAGCCTGGACCTCTAGGAGGAGGGGGGCAGTGTGGGCAGGCCTTCTGGTCCGGAGAAATCTTTTGAGAAGCCTTCAGTACAGACCAAGCGCCCTGCTGTGACCGCTGCCTCTCCCTGTCGCTCAAATGCCCAGGAAGGGCCTGGGATCCCCCAGAGAGTGCGTATGCCATGGCCCCTGGCCTCAGGGAGCACTTACCATTGACACAGCAGGTGGTTGACAGAACTCTTGTGGCCGGTGCTGCCCAAAGCGACACCAGCAAAGATAGAGCAGAATTAAACAGAGCCGCCAGCCCTGTTCGCTGAGAGGAAGAGTAGGTGGGTTTGTTTAAAATACTCCCATTACAGTCAGTTAACCTTTATGTTCCCTAAATGAAAATTGTATAAACCTGAAATTTTCGTTGATCAGGTTGCCTAGGAACCAGCAGCAGGTTTTCATAAGACAATGGAATAGATTGTCACCGATAGGGCTATTAGGAAGCAAGCTGGTTAGCGGTATTATTCCCCATCCTGGYGTTGGCGTTAGGTAATTATCTCTCTGCCTGTGCAGGGCACGCCCACCTTCCCAGGCTGGGGCAGGTTCACGCAAATAAGATTCCTCAGCTGCCTTTCTCTCTCTGAATCCCTGGAGTCCCGGAGCAAATCACCACCCCTGGGCTTATAAAAGAAACCTAAAAGAGCCAATCTGGTGAATTTATTTATTTTTAATCACCTTTCCTCCTTGTTCCCCTACTTGCAGCAATAATACCCTAGTAGCCCTATTGGTGACAAGCTATTGCATTATCTTATAAAAACTTGGAAAATAAATATCCAAAAAATTTACAGTGGTAACTTTTTATTTAAAAGGCCATCCTGAGACACTTCAGTATGTCTTTTTAGTATTTTTTTTCTCCATTATATGCATTTTTTTGTTGTCCACAAAGTCACGGTAATTTACAGTTACAAATCAATCTCATCTTACCGTTAGGGTGACCAGCTGTCCTGGTTTGCCTGGAACTAAGGGTTTCCTGTATCYGTTCTGTTTTCCAGTGTGCTTTTCTATAGCTGTGTGGCCTTCTATCARTGTGGATGAGCCAAAATCAGCTTAACCAATTTTTTCAGAACTTTAGGGAGATTTTTTTAAATTACTATTATAACTGTTACTTCTGGTGAACAGCCTCATCCATGTGTGCAGTATAGATTCCTACAAGTAGGATTGTTAGGTTAAAGAATGTGCACATTTATAGGTTTTGATGTATCGTTTTCTGATATGTATCAGAAAAATATGTTCCAATTCCTATCCCTGTTCCCCGTACCCTCATGATCTCTTACTCAAACAGTCTTTTATCACTGCCAATCTGATAGGTGAAAAATGTCTTATTTGGAGAATGTGTGCTTCTTTACTCTTGTGGTCACTGTCAATTTGTAAATTTCCTGTTCATGTCTTTTACCCATTTCTCTTTTGGATGCTCATCTCATCTCTTAATTACTCTTTGTATTAACCATGGTCATTAGTCATGTGAACCATTTTTTTTAAACAATATATACTGCACACAGTTTAGCTAGCTCTTGACATCTCAGGCATGCTCTGAGCAATAGCAGTCTTCTGAGTCACAGCAAAACCTCATATCTCTTATACTAAGTGTAGTTTTTGCTTCTATACCATATGTCCCCAGACTGCTTTTTTTTGTGTGTGTGTGTGGGGGGGAGAAAGGGAGTTGATGGAGATGGAACCCAGGGAAGCTCTACCACTGAGCTATATCCCCAGCTCTTTATATTTTTTATTTTGAGACAGGGTCTTACTAACTTGCTGAAACTGGCCTTGAACCTGTAATCCATCCTCCTGCCCCAGCCTCCCAAGTCTCTGGGATTACAGGTGTGCACCATTGTGCCCTGCTCGAGACTGCTTTTTAAATGAGATGCCTGGTTCCTTTTTTCCTCCGTCACTGCCAGGCTGCCGTGCTGTTACTGTTGCTATAAGCGTCCCTGCCTTCCTCTGCCATAGCCTATCTTCATCAGCAGTCGGGTTAGATCACCAGCTTGTTAAATTTGTCCTTAAACTCAAAGAGCAAGTAAGCCCTGAGCAAGGACTTGAGGTGCCCTGGTAAAATGGTGTAGGAACTTTATCAGGCCAAAGCAATATTTGCCGAGTCATATTCGTATAGTTTAGGTTGCTAAATTAAGTGACCTCTGGGTGTGCACTTATAGGAATAAAAGATAGAAAAGATGAGCAACATCTTGAAGGTGTAGATGGAAAAAAAAAAAGAGACCCTATAATCCAGATGATCAGGATCAGTGTTTAATTCTATGACGGCCCTCAGGGGAGCAGTGATGTGGGTTTTATGGAAATGGCAGCATTGCTAACCTAGAAATTTTGAAAGACCTGGGTTCTAGGCCCCCCACCTCCTGGAGATGGCTTTCAGCAGGATACCCAAGCCTTCCAGTGCTTGGCTTTCTGATCTGTGAGATAGAGCTAAAATTGAGCGRCCTGTCTACTTTATGCGAGAGAGAATCGGATGGCTTGATGGGAAGATCCCTGGCCTGAAGAAACATCAGAGGAATTTGTACAGAGGGCCCAACGACCGCGAAGGCTGGTGATTATTGCTGTTTGCTCACAGACATATCCCTCAGCCATTGGTGGCCTCCTTAACTGTCATGCTTTCTGCACAAGCTTCCATCTGAGCTGGCCTGTGTGTGTGTATCTTTAGCTTATGTCCTTGCTGCCCTTCCAGAACCTAATTTTATCCTTGTAGGTTTTTCCAAAGCAGGATTTGCACAAGTGGTGCGTTTTCTTAAATATTTATTTTGCAGGCCATTTACTCACCTCGGCAAGGCTATTTTTACAGTGAGTAAGGAGCAAGGCTAAAAATAACTTCGCTTGTAACCAGATCGGTTCTGCATTTGACATTTACGTGGAATTCATTTGCATCTCATTTGTTCGCCTCTCTGTTTAACAGGTAGAATGTAAGAAAGCTCAGCCGAAAGAAGTCATGTTCCCACCTGGGACAAGAGGCCGGGCCCGGGGGCTGCCTTACACCATGGATGCGTTCATGCTTGGCATGGGGATGCTGGGTGAGTCTAGACAAGTGACTGGGGGGTCACAGTGGACCGGGAGGGCTATGGAGACCTGTAGGCTCACCTGGGTCTCCTATCTGTTGGGCAGACTGTCTGAGCCTCAGTTTACCTGTCTAAGCCTGTTTTCTTATATATAAATGAGGATAATCACTCCCCTTCAGGACAATCATGATGATCCATGAGCCCACCTGTCAGTCATCCTGCCCCAGCCGGCTCATAGGGTACTTGATACTGTTTCCTCTTTTTTCCACCCTTTCCTCAAAAGGAGAACAGGTCTCTCCCTTCGGGAGTTCTTCAGACCTCTGGGCTCCTGGTGGGCTTAGCTTGGGTGGGCTCAGGCTACATTTTCTAAAACTTAGGAGAGGAGGTGGTGAGGGTAGGCGATAATCCTGTCTATTTAAATGATTAACATTTTCCTCTTGGGATATCAAAATTTGCATTTAAATGGATGTTTTAAATAGCCTGTTTTACTCTTTATTTGCAAAAAAAAAAAAATGATGAAAGACAAAGTGTGTTTGTTCTGACTAAAAATGATCTCTCCTGGCTTTTAGAGAAATTGAGTTGCATATTATGCCCCTTTCCTTAAAGGTATCTCTGTCCGTCCTGCRTAGATAATTGAAAATCTCACCGCTTAAATGGCATGAAAGATGGAGAAAGCCGGGGCATGCGTAATGGTGTGGGTCGCAACAATAATTAGAAATTTCAAGGCGAGAGAACGGTATTTTTGTGCAAGTTATTGTGTGTCGGGAAAATACTAATTAAATGGGATAAATGGTAGTTAATGGTAAAATTCCATTCAGGCACATGAGCGGTCTAGTTTTAATGGGTTTTCCTTTGGTTTGGCTTAGAGTCCCTCTTCTATATTGTTTGATAGGCTCTTTATGTATTTTCAGATTTGTTGCTGTTTAAATCATTCTTGTCTTAGTTTTAAGTTTATAAAACTTTTCTTGATCTTATAAAGAATCATATCTCCTTGTCTGAGAAAATAACAAGGGCAGGCATAGCTATTTTGATGAACTTGAAAAAATGGAGAGGGTTGCCATCGAGAATATTAAAAGTGGCCACGAGGCTACTTTTTCTGAAATTGATTTTTTAAAGATTTAACAGACTTTACAAGAAAAAAAATCTATTATAATTCTCTAAAAAAATTGGGCAGATGATTCTGAAAACTTATTTTGGAAGAAGAAATAGGTGAGAATAAATACAGAGAAATGAGAGTTTGGTTAAACTGGTGTTTAACCAAATACCAGAACATAGCACAAAGCTGCAATAATTAAAGACGTGGTACACAAGACTGTATTCAACTTAGGATGACTTGACTTAGGAATTTTCTACTTTGCAATGGTGAGGAAGCAGTATAGAACCCTGGAAACTATGCTTTAGATTTTGAACTTTGCTCTTTTGCTGAGCTTGGCATCTGTCAAGGTGATGGGGCAGTAGTGAGTGACAGCTCTGGCCGGCCTTGCTGTCTGTCAGGCTAGGAAACAGTGGAGACTCCGCATACTGTGTTGTTAAGCCCGGGTGTTCAGTGGGTTAGGTGTATTCAATACATGTTCAACTTACAATGTCAGGATGTAACCTCATCGTAAGTCGAGGAATGTATGGAAATATGAAAACTTGTTGATTAAAAAAGTTAAAAAGCCTAAAATAAATATTTTCTATGTGAGAGTAATTGTTATTTTTTAAAATCAGTGAGAACCATTTCCTGGTTGCAATATGAAAATTGCTTAGCTCTTGCTTTAAAAAATAATTTTTATTTGGTCTTCATCTGATGTCATATGTCAGAAACACTCCACATGAGGTACTGATTTTCAACGCTGAAATCAGACTTTAAGAGAAAAAGAGCTGATGGCATTACCATCTGCTGACTTTGGGTGTCTTGAATTTGAAATGAGCATAAAGGCCTTAGGGCGTGCATAGGGGATTTTCTGGGGTCCAGCTCTTCAGACAGTGCTCCACCTAAGTGGGACTTGACCGTCTTAGCATGCTGGAAAAGAAGGCACTGGTTTTTCTTCAGGGAGAAGCAGAGGTGTCAAGCAGAGCCAGCTCCATTCATGTAACTGATAAAAAGCAAAAGCCCAGCCACATCCAGCATCCCCAACTCTGAGCCACCTCTCCACTGACACCCTGGCCTGAGTCCCCACATGGACGAACACCAGGGCTTCATCGTGGGAGCCTAGGTAGAGCAGGAGGCATTCACCAGCAGGTTGTCTGTACTCCCCGACTGCAGGCCCCATCCTGGGTTGGGGTGGGGTGCTGGGGTTGAACCCAGGGCCTGTGCATGGTAGGCATTTGTTCTGCTGCTGAGCTGTGTCCCCAGCCCTCACCCGGGATAATAATTTGCCCAGGGCTCCCTAATACCTTATTAATAACGGCTCCCAATTTGAGTACATACTACTACAACTTGGTGATTAGAGGACACACATTTTTGCCTCCATATTTTTTTTTTAAAGAGAGAGGGAGAGAGAGAGAKAGAGAAAGAGAGAGAATTTTTAATATTTATTTTTTTTTAGTTATTGGCGGACACAACATCTTTGTTGGTATGTGGTGCTGAGGATCGAACCCCGGGCCGCACGCATGCCAGGCGAGCGCGCTACCACTTGAGCCACATCCCCAGCCCCAATTGCCTCCAAATTTTAAACACTTCTGTGGACCCATTTGCAGTCCATGTGATAAGAGAGCATCATGCAGTTTAATTACCAGCACATTCTTTTCTTTCTGAATGATACGTGAAGGTGTATCTTATTAGTCATGGCATCTAGGATTTGATAAAGTCCAGTAGTCCATGGTTAAAAAACTTATGTGACTTGTGTTGTGGCAGTTGTAGCCTCTTCCTCCAGCCCCAGCCTCCACCCAAGGAATTTGCCAGAAGATGGCTACTCAGGGATGATCCAGAGATCCACATGCTAGACTCCAGGCAGCATCAGACCCGCCTCTTGAATTCCCAGCCACTATATGAGGTGTCCAGATGCCTGCAGTGCAGAGTCTCCTAAGAGGTCCCAAAATGTGACCGAGGCCAGGAACCAGCTCAGCCTGAAATACAGGAAGAATCACCTGGTGAATGCACTCGGGGTCTGGCTGGCCCGTCACATCCCCAGGCAGCCCAGCACCTCCCACCCAGCCTCCTCCAGCGCTCTCCCTGCAGCCTCCCTGGCTGCTCTCAGTAAGCACAGTGGTTCAGCTCTGCACTGGGCCTCTCGGCTTGCTAGGCCATGATGCTGCCACCATTGTGCTGCAACCAAAGCCTTTAAGTCCCTCATCAAAGATGGCTTCCCTTGGCTTCTTCCCTCTATAGTGGCAGTGTGACTTCAGCAGAGTCTAATCCTTGGGTAGGGTGCCTGACGTCCATGGATCACACCAGTCACCACTCCATGGTGCACTGTTCGTATTGTCACTCCTGGAACCGGTGCTGTCACCACCCTCAACAGTGTGGCTGATGAACTTGGCTCCTGCAGAAAAACATGTTTTTTAAAATTGATCAATGAATGGAAGGAGATGAGGTATCAGGGCCTTAACCTCCTTGGGAGGGATTGTTTATTTTTTTGTTTATTTATTTTTTGGCAGTACTAGGGATCGAATCCAGGGTTGCATTACCACAGAGCTACATCCCCAGCCATTTTTCTTTTCTTTTTTTTTTTTTTTTAATTTTGAGATAGGGTCTCACTGAGATACCCAGGCTGGCCTTGAACTTGTGATCTTAAGTCAAACTATGAACCATTAAAATTTATTCCTTCAACAAGTTATTTCCTGAGTCCCTATTAAGGGCCAGGACACCATTCTACACACTTAGGGTACAAGCAGGGAACAGAGCCTCTGATCCCAGGACGCTGACGTCCTGGTGAGAAATCTGAGACCACCAGTAGACTGATCTATAAATGACTTGGATACTGCTGAACTAATTTACAAATATCCCTCACAAGATTTCCTCATGAAAGGGGGACGGGTGAGGTGTAGTTGTCCAGTTATTCATTTGCGATCTCTCTTGATATGGCTGCAAATATCCTCTGGGAAAACCTCCACCGGTTTGGGTTTCAGCTTTCACAGCTTTTGATAGAATTGTGGAATAATCAGCCCAATGGGAATTTCTTACAAAGAATGTAGGCGAGAAGAGAAGACAAGGGTCATCCTAGGCCCTGTCCCCTGCCTTGGAGCCAGACAAAACCAAAAGCCACTGTGCCCCTTAGAGAAGGTGTTTCTGCAGCCCCTGAGACTGTCCCACTGCCTTGCAGCCGCAGCGGCATCCACAGTTACCTGGGAGTCTCCACTTTTTCTTAATGAAAGTGGACTTAATAAAAGCAAACACTTGATTGTTGATATATCTGATTCCTCTTGGCCTTCTCTGCCCTCCGCCCCATAATCCCACTGCTTTTAACTCTCCTGGCCTCGTTGGGCACATGCTATTTATTTAACGTGTTGGTAGAGAAATAGCACATGGCTGAGGCGTGCAGAGCAGCTTCACCCTGGCAGGCCCAGGCATGGAGAGATACTGTTGATGGGCTAACCCTTTAGCCAAAAGCATTCTTAGGCACTCTTATACCGGGAAGCACCCATGAAATCCCAGCCCAGTATTCCCCAGCATTAAGCTCCATCTGAAGTCAAAGCAAAATGTAAATAAATCATCCTTGATTGAGCAGGGCTGAGGAGCCACAATCTGCTGGCATTCGCTAACACTCAGGAGACCAGCAGGAACTTAGTCACACCTCGAGACTTGTTTATAATTTCAGGTAGGATTTGTCTCTCCTAAAATTATCTGTTTGGGCCATTCCCAAGTAGGTCTCTGTTTGTTCAGCTGTTTTCTGGTGGACAGAGGAAGTTAGTTCAGAATTGTGCCACTCGTCCCTCTAAAGCAGTGCGGTCTAATCCAGCTGTGATGGTGGGAACCTCCTGTGTCTGCACAAGCCAACGCGGTGGCCACTAGTCTGATGTGCATCCTTGCTGTTGCACTTCAGATGTGACTTATGCAAGGAAGGAACTGATGTTTTCATTAGATAAGAGTTTTAATTAAATTTAAATTGCATAGCACAGGTCTGGAGGAGCCCCTGCCACTCAGGATGATTCCAAGGGCCAAGCATCTTTAGAGACTTTGGCTTTTATGTCCTTGCCTAGGAAGAACTCTGGGCACTTGATGTTTTGTCTGCCTGCAGACCTCATGGAGTTGATGTGGTGCTCCAGGCAATGTTCCGGACGTCATACGGCAGATGTCACACTGTGGCAGTTCCCTGGATAAACAGCCCTAGTCTCTGGTCTCTTTCAAGTCAGTGGCTTGACGGGAGCAGTTTTCCATGACTGAGTGGCTGAGTAGCAGAGCCAAGAACAGGATGAGTCATAGAATCATCTAGAATACAAGCATTTCTTCTTCAAGATTTGGAGCAAAGATCTAGAGCCACAATCTGGAAAACCTTTCCTGCATTCCCAAAATGAGTCCCAAAAGGAGCCCCTGGGCACAGCCAAGTTCTGTTGTTGATTGCTGATTTTGCTGCCACCATGGAAAGCCGATCTGCAAGAAAGGTGGTCATCCAGGCAGAAGGCTTGATTTTTTTACTTTAGTGACAAGAGATAATTACTGTGGGATTGATCAGGCGGCCAGAGTACTGGAGCAAATAAATTGTGCAGTGGCCAGTGCGGGAGGGGCCCGGCTGCTAATGGAAGTGGCGGCTGGGTCATCCCGCTGTAATGGGGCTTGATGGAGCGTCCATGGGTCTGCAGTAATGTGCTATTGATATGCAGCCAGCCAATTTCCCCCGTGTGGCTGGGGCTGTGAGCCGTTGGAGCAGAGCTGGGCTGCACAGCAGTAAATGAAGAGGAAAATTGAAGTAATGTTGTATTATAAATTTATAATTTCATCTGCCTGACCTCGAGGGTGTTCAGGGATGGGGGCGTGGAGATGAGATCCCCCACTCTGGCAGGTGCCAAATTCTCATCTTCCTCCTTCAGGAGACGATGATAGGGACCTGTCTGGAAAGAGTGGGGTGAGGCCCAAAGTTGGGGTGAACTTGACCACACTTTTCTTTTTTCCTGTTGGAGACTTTTGGGTATGCCAGGAAGAAAGCATGTTTTAATCAGGTCGTGCGAGTGGCCTGAGTACAGAGAGGCACTAGCCCTTCTACCGTCCTCTCCCACACCAAGGGAAGGTGACACATGGGCTTATGCTTTTGCTGTCAGATTAACACTAAAATATTTAAGACCCCCAGCTCTGAAGTTAGAAGCAAAGGAGCCATTTTTCATAAGGAAAGCCCTTAGGCAGCAGTGATTTGGCTGTTTGCATATAATCCGTTTATCAATATTGTTGAAATAATGGTATAAGAAATCTAGTGCTGAAAGATCTGATTTGATAGCAGGTGATTAATTTGGAAGAGAATTGAATTGCCCAGCCATGAAATAAATAACCAAGGAAGGAGTCATTTTGCGTGCATCTATTTAAGGCATCTAGCTCTGGCTACTGTCCCTTTTCTTCTCTTACTGCTCCTTCAGGACCTGAGCTCAGGGTCCCCCTGGGCTCCTCCCTTCAGAGAACAGTCAGTGCAAAGCTTCTGGGCCATTCCATCTCATCTGTGCATGAAACACCATGCACTGGGAAATAGCGGCCCAGGGGCAGAACAGGTAGCCAGGTCCCGTTGGAAGACAGTTCACTGAGCCCATGGGTTTGATGTGACTACAGATTTGGAGAGACTGAAGCAAGGCAAAGACACCATAATTGGTCTCAGTTGAGAATTTGTGTATCAGTGCTGCAGGGGACCTGCAAGACTTTTCTACAGGTGGCAAAATTCAGGCTCCAAAAGAAAAGGGAAGACCCATATTTGTGTCAGGCTGGAACAAAAAAATTCTCTAGCTGGGGCAACTTGAGCAGCTTTTGAACAATAAACATTTATGACTGTTCTTGGAGGCTGGAAAATCCACGGTCAAGGCACTGGTAGATTGCATGTCCATCAAGGGCCCATTCTTCATAGACAACACTTATTGCTGGGTCCTACTTATTGGAAGGGGTGAGGGTCTCTGGGGCCCAAAAGGGCCTCAGTCCCATTTATGATGCTCTACTCTGTGACCTAACCATCTCCCTGAAACCCCAGATCCTAATACTGTCCTGTTAAGGGTTAGAATTTCAACATAGGAATCTGGGGGGACACGAGCATTCAGATCGTAGTAATCCCCAAGAGCATGGTCAGGCCACAGGCAGGAATGAATCTGTCCTCTGACTTCTAGACTTGCAAGAACCTGTTCTGGGTTGGACAACAGGTCCACTGGTCACAGGCAGAAGCCACAACACCAACATCCACAGGGAGGAGAAGGACAGTGGGTCCTGTCCCAGGATCTCTGAGGCACAAAAACACTGAATGGGCAGCAGGAAGACCAGTCAAGTCTTTGACTCATGATGGCAGAGTGAAGAAAGATGGAATTTGGTAACCTTTATAAGGTCAGAAAGTGTTTGGTGTGATATGTAAGATTCACTGAGAAGGAAGGTGACAAGGGCTTGCATTGAGGGGTGTTGTTTAAGGTCACACTAAGAGAACCTGGAGTCTGTTCTAAATCCACCCATCAAAGTGACTTCTCACCAGTGTTTTGGTGGCAGACAAGCAGCGAACTATAAGCAACAAAGGAGATTCTTGGAAGGTGCATGGGCAGTGCTCCCAGATTGACAGGAAGGTGGAACAGGACTCAGGAGACAGGCAGGAGCTAGAGGAGCTATTGGTCAAAGCTCCAGCCCCAGCCAATGGTTCAGCCCAGGAATGGCCTGGTCAGGCAACCACCATTTCCACCTCTGGATGCTGGATCCTGCAGCTGTGCCAGGGTAAATTCTGAGCCACCCCCTTCTTTGCCCACTGCTCAGTAGCAGATCCCAGGGAAGACTTCCACTGGCCCAGGGCCCAGTTCACCAGCTGCCTCCCAGCCACCCAGCTCCAAGCTGGAAGGAGGCATCGGGCCTCTCACCAGGTCAAGAGGGTGGAGGCTCAGGTCCTGGGCAGCCTGAAAACCACCACAGACATCCACCTTGGAGGACAAAGCAAAAGTCTGGCTAGTGGTTATGGGGAGCCGTGGTGACATTTTAAGAGCATGAATGACCTAAGTTGATCATACACCCAAGTGGAGGGAAGTAAAGGGAACCTGGTGGGGCAGGGACAGGAAATGGCCCCAGATCTCCTGTGGCCAGTGAAACCATTTTCACTGGTCTCCAGTCCAGGGAGGCTGCACCAACCTTCACTGTGGCCAGAGTGAAGAGGCAGGAATATGAGCAGCAAAGTCCTGGTGCTAAGGTGACATCTCGTGAGGGCATTAGTAACACTGGACAAGGTCCCACCTGCACCAGGACTTACCAGCAGGGGTTTCTCTGCACCCCATGCCCAGCCCAGCAGCAGTTTCCCCAAGTACCCACCCGCGGATAGTCACCTATAGATCATCTGCTGAGACGAGGGTCTGGAAAAACTGACCACTGTGAAATGCTCATGAAGACACGTGGCCTGAGGCTTCTGAGTTGAGGCCATACTTTGTGGTACACATGTTGACATGGCCAACCCCCCTTCTCAAGGCTCTCTCAAAGACACTGATGCCACTGTGGAATGTCCATGCTGGTTAAGTGGGTCTCTGGGCTCCTCCCTCCCCCCGGCCAGGGCTCATTAAGCCCAGCGTTTTCCACAAGTACAGGGTTGATCTCGAAGTTTATTCACTAAACTGTGACCCCTGGGTACCCGTGACCTGTTTGGTGCTGGCCCTGCTGTCCACTACCCTGGGAAGAGGCATTACAAGGACTTTAATCTCCTACTGTCAACAGCTTTTAAAGTAAAGTACATTGAGGGTAAGCTCTCCAAATGTCAGAGCCAGGCGCAGGCCCCATGTTTGGTGCTAATGTATGACATTTACTCTGCAGGTTTGAGAAAGTGCATGGGCTTTGGGAAGCCTGGCTGCCCAAATATGGGTTAATTACCAGCAGGCCGACAGCAGCACCCCCCAGCCACAGGAGAGAGGTGGCCCAGGTCCTGGGTAAAGACCTCCCCAGAGACAAATCATTCTGTGAAGGAAAATAACTCAGGCTTTTCCTTATGACCATCCACCCTGGGAATGTACCCAGCTTGGAGGCAACTTACAGCTCTCTCTTTCTGTGTTCAAGGTTATCCCAACTTTGTGGCAACCTATGGCCGAGGCTACCCCGGATTTGCTCCTAGCTATGGCTATCAGTTCCCAGGTGAGTTACTTGGGTGCCCAGGGTGTTGGAAACTTGGGAGGTGGGCTGCATTTGGGAGGAGGAAGGAGAACCCTAAAAGAACACGACACATATGTGCCTCCATTGAAGAGATGCCCTATGTGTGTTGACTTCTGAGTTCACTGGAGCCCAGGGTCAAGGGGCCTCAGGATTTCTGATGAACTGGAGTGCTTCATTGGTGCCGGGTATTTGAGAATAACAGCTTTGAAATGCAAAGGAAGAGACCAAGGCAGGAGACCCACCCCCTTGCTCCTTTATCTGAAGCCTGTTCGGGTCTCTTCTCCCTGGGGACTGAACTCCAGGCCCAGGATTTTCTTTCTCCCCCACTACCCTGTTGCCTGCTCCCAATCCCTGCATCCACATGCCTGAGGTCTGACGTCTCCTGCCCTTCCTTCCTTCCTTCCTCCTCTCCTCCTCCAGCTTGACTCTGGCCACCGAGGCTCGGGAGCCTTCTGGAGTATGTTGGTGTTGTTCTGCTGGGGTTAGGGCCTGCTGTCCATCCTGGGTGGGGCTGGGTGGAGTCCCCTTTCCTCTCTCTGGGCATCAAAAGCTGGAGGCAGAGTGCACGGTGGTGCCCATTCACACATCTGGGCTGCTGTGGCTTGAGGTAGCTGGCAGGCCTGGGGCCAGCCAGGGTGGGCATGGTCGATGGGGAGGGGATCGGGGAGGATGCTGAAGAAGTGATATCTTATGGGGCTTTGTTTTTCCCTACAGAAATGAGCCCACCTTCCCCAGACTCAGGGTCTAGATGAGAGTATATCGGGGTGCCTGAGGGTGTAAGGGAGGAGGTCAGCTGAGGAGTGTAGAGGAGCTCAGCACAGTCTTGTCCTCTGCGGGCTCTCTGTTGAAGGGAAGGTGCCACCCAGGAACTGGACATTTGGGGGAGTTTCACCCCAGGCTTGTCGCCTCGCCTTGACTTGGCCACCTGGGAGCATCAGGCTCCAAGCGCAACAGGGAACAAAGGGAGCAGAGATGTGACCTGGGTGGGATGCTCTGAGGCTGAGGGGCAGGAGGGCAGAGCGCTGGCTGGGGCGTGGGGAAAGGGGCGGGTGATGGAGGCATTTAGGACACTTGGAGCTACACGCTGTGACCTTCAACCCAGGATGGAAGCCCAGGCACTTGTCCTGGCTGTGACACCGACTGGCCTGGTGTCAGTGGCAGGTCATTCAGCTTCTCTGGGCCTCACTTCTCTTCTCTATGAACAAAGCATTGAGAGGGGTCTTGGGGCCTGTGTACCCCTCCAGCTGTGCGGGTCACAGGCCAGGAGAGGGCTAGAGCAGCAGGAGGTCTGGGGTCAGGTGTGTGAGTGGGTTGGCTCCCTGGGAGGGACCCTTAGCAAGAATCCTTGGCCTCCCAGAGGGGGCCTTCCCTATAGCCTCCCTAGAGCAGAGACCTTCTGCATGACCAGGGGCTCAGGGCCTGCAGCAAAGAGGGGCATGGCCCAGAGGCACCGCCAGGAGAGGAGCCAGGCTCAGGCAGCTTTTCCCCTGCAGGTGGGGACGCTGAGGCACAGGGAGATAGCAAACCCTGTCCAGCGGGGTCCCTGCGAGCCAGAGGCAGGGCCAGGACTTGAAGCCAGGCAGTACACCCACACTCTACCATCTCTCTCACATCCATTTGCCCATGATGGAAACACCAGCCTCTGAAATTGAGATTTAAACTAAACCAAATTCAGTTCCTCCACCACACTGGCCATATTCCAGTTACCCAGTAGCCACGTGTGGCCAGTGGCTACCCGTGGTATGGATTGGAAAACATTTCCATCATCACAGACAGTTCCGCAGGACAGTACTATTCCAGATCTTAATAGAAGAGTGGTTCCGATGCTGGCGTGCTGTCCACACGAACATGCCCAGCCTCCCTCAGCTCGGCTCCCTGGGAGTGCCGTCCTGATCTGTGCTCTTGACACAGTCTGCCTCTCTTCACAGTCAGGTTGCCATTGCCCCTTAGTGTGTGCCAAGAGGGCAGAGTCAGGAGAACTTAGTGTGCAATCATTTGGGGAACCACAAAGTGGACCCCATTCTAAGGCCCCTGGCTCATCGGAGAGGCTTCTCTTGGGGACCCTATGAGCCAGCTTCAGAAAACCTGGCAAGAAACTGTCTCCATGACCTCCATCCCTAGTTCTGCTCCAGACAGACAGGCACGCAAGAGTGGCCAGACTGAAGGTGGGCGGATGCAGTGGGCCTCCCTGAGCCGAGCCCTTCACCAAAAGCAAAGAAGGCCTTGGAGCTGGGGGTCGAGTGGGTGATGCTCCCAGAGCTCGTGCTGTTCCAGCTCCTGAGCTTAGCGCACTGGCTGGGTCTGAATGGGACTGGAGGTGGACATGCAGGGGGACATGACTTTGTGACATGGCCAGCTGCTGCATCACCACCACACCATCCTGACCTGCTGTGGGGGGCCGTTCCCTCTCAGCCGCTCAGCTTTCCCTGTCTCCATCCTTCCCATTCACACCCTTCTCTTAACCTAATAACCAGAAAAGGGCCCCGTGACCACAAGCGTGAGCTACCTGCTTTCAGGAAGGGTGAGGGTGTGAGTGGCCTTGACCAGGGAAGTGGTGGCCCAGGGGCCCCCGTGGTTGAACTGAGCCACCACCACTCTGGGTGGAGAGCCAGGCCGGTTTCCCACTCCCAGCTCCCACCCTACAGGAGCTGCCCCTTGTAGAGCACTGGCTCTGCTGCCAGTCCCAGATGCCTCCCCAAGCAGATCCACGCTAACCACCAGCTAGGGGCAGCCCACTGTGCTGCTCCAGTCAAGAGCTTGGTGGGTGCTTGCTCCCTCTGACCCCTCCCTTAGCAGCTGGGTTAAGAAAACTCTGGAATGTTCTGACCTCCCTCTCTCACCTCTGGCCTCTATGGCACAGTGCAAAGCAGGGACCAGAGCTGGAGCAGCCCAGCCTCACCCTATCTGGTGGATTCTGTTGACCTGTCCCCGGACCCCAGGAATCTTGTGACTTTGTGACATTGCCCAGCTGCTGCATCACCACTGAACCATTTTCTCTGTGGTCTTCTCAGTATCCTCACTGTGTGCCCAATTCCCACCTCCAGCCCGGCCTTAATGCTGTGTGTGGACACCACACCCCCAAGCCCCTTCATCTCGGCAGGGCCACTCGAGGCAGCTAGTGAAGAGAAAGGAAAGCAAACCCACCCAGGTCCCCAGGCTGCTGTGGCCTCCGCCCTCTGCTGTCACTCACACCAGTGAGCATTTAGGAAGGTGCAGTTAATCCTTTTACAAAGCACCCTCCTTTTTACCTGCATTCACCCGCTCCAAATATCCATCTCCTCTGGTTGGGGGTCCACATTATCACTCTTTGCAACACATCGTCCCAGGCCACACCTGTGCCCAGCTTCGGGACTCTGAGAACAGATAGGTGTTCCCAGGGGGCCAGTGCTAGAAGCCTTTAGTTGAGTGGGGAGTCGTTCTCTTGTGGCAAGGCTGGGTGTCGACCAGTCACTTGGCAGTGTCTCTTCTTCCCATGCAAGGTGTCCATCCCAGCAGCCTCAGGATCGGTGTGCAGTCCAAATGGTGAGGAGTGTGATCAGTGGTCCCCTGGGCCTCCTCATTTTGCCCATCCGGGCTTCTCATTTCAGTTTAATCTGTTAATTTCTGTTCTTATTTCACTTTGCAGACTATTTGCCGATTTCACAAGACATTATTTTTATCAACTAGCTCTTAAGAGAGGCATAGCAAATTGGGGTTTTGCCACCATTTCTAGAGAGAGGACACAGTCCGGGCCTGGGCCACCCCTGCTGCTGCTAGTGCCCACTGACTGAGACTCTATGTCCCTGCTGCCTGTTGTTTGAATGAATATTCTTTTTCCTGTAATTTAATTCTTAGCAAAGACCTTGTTCCTTCACAGTTTTGTTTTGTTTTAACTTCTCCAGTCCCCTCCTGTTTGCCCCTGTACGCATTGTGACCAACCCCACCCCCGGCTCCCCAGAATGTAATGGGGCCAAGGGAACTTCTCACAAACTTCGTAGAGACTCCTCGGGGGATCCAGGAAGAAGGTGTCAAGTGTTTAAAATAATGACAAAACAGGCTTGTTGGGACATTTCATGGGGAGGCCCAGAGGGCTGTGGCTGTGTGACTCAGAGCATCTGTATTCTCTCTGGTGGGCGTGGCAGTGAGCGCACACACAGACCCCTCTCTGAAAACGTGCGAGAAACGTAATCCGGAAGAGCAACTGTAACAGCTTGTCTGAGTGTCTTCCTTGTTTGGTGGCCAGTCTCTCAGTGACTGTCACCGTAAGAAGCATCCGCCTTTGAGAAGAGACAGTAGGGTTGCCCTGGTGTTGTGTCAGGCACACGGGTGCCAGTGCACACTGGGCTAGGCCAAGACGGGGCACTGAGGGTCCACCCTAATCAGGCCACATCTCAGGGCTGTTACCCCTGATGGTCACCCCCAGAAGAATCTTTTCCCATGATCCTGAGCCCCCCCATCCCCCCTTTGATATACACACCCTCTCTCTTGGGCTGAGGGCATACAGCTCGGCTGGACCCTCAAGAGTCACCACTTTATGCTCCTAGTTTGTGAGAAATGACCCGTGCGCTTCCGTTTGGTGCATCTGATGTGAGCGAATCCATACCTGTGCCTGTCCATGTCCTTCAGAGCCAGCATGTGCATTTGGCTCATGTCATTAAAGATGCTTGATGTAAAAACTGGTTAGTTTCCTTTTATTTTTTCCCCCGGGCTTTTTCATGAGTATTTCTTTTTTATCTGTGTGGATCTCCCCCCACCCCGCTCCTTATTTTGGTTTGCTATGAATTGCGTTGCTTTGGTGAACTTGTCCTCATGTGCTGGCCTCACAATGGCCTCACAGCCATTGTGAATTTTCTTCCATCTCTGTAAGTAGTTCATCTGTGCTGCTCCCTAATGACATTTTTTTTTTTTCCCCCTGTAAGCAACTGAGGTAGAAAAATAAATTGTTTACCATGGACATGCTGTGTGCTGCCGTCTCTTAGCCTGACAGTGTCCTGATCTCGCTC